TTCCAGAAATGCAACAGGATGACTTCCACACAGATGCTTCGGATGCTCAAGGATAAGGGTTTCAACACTAGAGAGGTGTGTGTGACATAAGGAGAGGAATCCAGTATTCTGCACTTAAAAAATCTACACCTGTGTGATAATCCATGCCCAGGGGTGTGTGGTGTGAGTGTGTGTGTGTGTGTGTGTGTGTTCTTGTTGTTGTTGTTTAAATTTGGGTTTAATATTTTCATCCCTTACAATCACCCTATAGTGTTCAGTTGATAAATATCTGAGCGTGTCAGTGAAGATTGGTATATTTTAGCTAATATGCTTGTTCCATTTTCTCTAACTCTGTAAAGATAAAATGATTGAGAAGCTAAAAGGTGGAAATACAGTTACTGGTGTTTGGAGCCACGAGAGATTTCAGAGGTGACCTCTCCAACTCTCTCATTTTATCAATGAGGATATAATGTCAACTTTGAAGGGTTGGAATAGGTTAAGTATGACTAGATAAAACATAAATTTTCTCTCACATGTTTTCCTACTAAACTGTGAGCTCCATAGAGGCAAAGCCTATCATGGCTTTAGCATTAGACATATGCAGATACAGATATAGATAGACATAGTGTATATGTATATATATTAACTACCATCTACACTAATAAAAGAGAAAAATGGTAATTGGCGTACGACGCTACCCTTTTCATTGGCTAATCAGGGCTATATGCAAATTAACTGCCAACTCAGATGGCAGTTAACTGACAACAAAGATGGAGGTTAATTTGCATATGTAGGCACAATGCAAGCAGGGCAAAGGCTGCCTTTTCCCTGCCCCCAGCCATGATCGGAGAATCAGGCGCCTTTGCCACCCTGGCCAGTGATAGCAAGAAGTAAGGGTGAAGCCAGCAATGGGAGCTGGGCACGGTCGAAGCTGGCAGTCCCGGGAGCTAGGGGGTCCCTTGCCTGGCCTAAAGTGGAGCCCACGATCATGGGCCGCTGCAGCTGCGTGTCCCCACTGCCCAGGCCAGATGCCTCGGCCAGGGGCGTTAGGTCTGGGCAGGGGCAGAGCCTGCAACCGCGGGGAGCTGGGAGTACCCGCCCCAGGCCTGACACCTCTGCCGGAGGCCTCAGGCCTAGGCAAGGGGCCGATCTGGTGACTGGTGATTGGTGATCAGAGGGTGATGAGAGTCAACTCCTCTGGGCCAGAGGCATCAAGCCTGGGTGGGGGTCAGAGCCAGTGATCGGGGGGAGATGGGGGTCCCCTGTCCTCTGGCGGAGTAGTCAGGTCTGGGCAAGGGGCCGATCAGGCGATCGGAGGGTGATGGGGGTCTAAGTCTATGGCCAAGGCATCAGACCTGGGCAAGGGGCAGAGCCAGCAATCGGAGGGGTCTGGGGGTCCCCTGCCCAGGCCTGATGCCTGGGCCAGAGGCATCAGGGCTGGGCTGGGGGTAAAACCAGTGATGGGGGGAAATGAGGGTCCCCTGCCCAGGCCTGATGCCTGGGCAAGGGGCCGATCCTGCAATTGGAGGGTGATGGGGGTCAATGCCTGAGGGCTCCCAGTGTGTGAGAGGGGGCAGGCTGGGCTGAGGGACCACCCCCCCACACACACACCCAGTGCACCGGGGCCCCTAGTTATATATAACAATGTGAGAGAGAATCATTGATAGGCTGCTTCCTGCATGCCCCACACTGGGGATCGAGCCCACAACCTGGGCATATGACCTGACAGGGATTTGAACTGTGACCTCCTAGTTCATAGGCTGACATTCAAGCACTGAGCTATGCCAGCTGGGTCATAAAAATTTTTCTTAATAAAACAATCACATTTTAAAGTCTATACTGTAAAACATTATTTTTTTTTCTTATAAAAATATTTGTTGTTGTAAGCAAAATTTTAGTGCAAAAAATAACCATCTTATATTACCTAAACTAGTATCTATAGTTCAAGTCCTTTCTTCAAAACCAAGTTTGTGTTCACATTTACCCTGCAGAAAGGGATCTACTTTTTCCTGTGGTTACAGCTTTATAAGGTACCCACTACACTCCCTTTTCAAGAACAAGAGCACCAAAATTTCCTTTGGTTCTTTTCCCTAAATGCATAAGGTACTCTCTGTTCACATACCCTGGATCATAATATTTTGGGTTCAACTGGCATATAGGTGGCCATAACAGTAGCAAGTAACTATAAATGTGACTTTTCAGTTCTAGCCATCTGTGTGCAAAAATATTAGCACCAGCAAATTTCCTCATTGCTTATCTATAAAATGGTCAATTATGTTTTATAACTGCAATTTTTAAAAATATACTTTTATTGATTTTAGCGAGGAAGGGAGAGGGAGAGAGAGATAGAAACATCAATGATGAGAGAGAATCATTGATTGGCTGCCTCCTGCATGTCCCCTACTGGGGATTGAGTTCGCAACCTAGGCATGTGTCCTTGATTGGAATCAAACCTGGGACCCTTCAGTCCACAGGATGATGCTCTATACCAGCGGTTCTCAAACTGTGGGTTGCGACCCCTTTGGCGGTCAAATGAACCTTTCACAGGGGTCGCCTAAGATCATCCTGGATATCAGATATTTACATTACGATTCATAATAGTAGCAACATTACAGTTATGGAGTAGCAAGGAAAATAATTTTATGGTTGGGGGTCACCACAATATGAGGAACTGTATTTAAAGGGCCAGAAGGTTGAAAACCACTGCTCTATACACTGAGCCAAACTGGCTCGGGCATATAAGTGCAAATTTGATATAGATTTACCATATAAATATAACTGCAGATTTTAAAATCTGACTGTTCCTTCTATATTACATAAAAATCCTAAGTGAAAAGAATAACCTAAAAGTCATAATTCTATTAGTCTAAAAGAATACAATACTCATTCAGCAATGTTTCTTTTTAAAAAAAGTCATGTTCCTTGAAATGGTATTAGTTAAGAGTAAATATTAGTACCTTTGAGAACTATTGTTTCAAACAAAAGATGACTATCAAAATAGAATGTTGTTTTTATCTTTCTCTGCATCAAGATATTGGGAATGATAAAAGAGTGTTTAGATCATCCAGTTTCTTTTCTCTAGGCAACAATCCAAGAAAATACTTTATAATTCCTCCAAAGCTAGGAAATAAGATCACAGAGGGCGCGAGAGGAAAGGAAGAGGCATTCCAGCATCTGGCCAACTGTATTCACTCTGCAAAGCTCCAAGCAAGTTACATTTCCTAGTAGTGCAATGTTCCCAGGTAATTACAAGAGGATGGAAGGAGGAGTGTTTCCATCACATATTATAGAAGAGTATGGGCTGTGATATTTGTGTGTGTGTGTGTGTGTGTGTGTGTGTGTAGGTAGGTAGGTAGGTAGGTAGGTAGATGATAGATAGAAAAAGTCAGTTTTACAATCTAGGAATTGCCTGTTCAGGAAAGTAATAAATACATATTCAAATATAGTCATCATCCAGGGTCACTCAATAATGCCTCATTCACATTTCATAACAAGATATTCACCCATAGTTGAATAGACTTTTAAGGGATACAAGCGCACATATGAAATAGCTTTATATCAATTTCTATGTTGTGTCCTGGAAGAAAGATATGAGGTGGATTAAAATGCTAATAAAAATGAGTCATTCAAAAAAGAGGAATTACAATATGCTTTCCAAATTTCATTCAATAACAACCTATAATAATTGTAGAAATCTTTTTGACTTTACTTTGGCAATCTCTTAATCCGAGTGGTGCATCTGTAGAACATTTATTGTTGCTGCAAACAATGTCTTTGTTAGGGTGATGTTTTTTTTCCTGGTTATTTTCCTTTAGCTTATTTTCCTTCCCTAAATTCATTTATTTTCATCCCTTTTAATTTTAAATTTATTTCACTACTTCTTATCCACTACACTGCCTAAAAATATAAGAGGCTAACAATTTTAGAGATATTTCATGAGCTCCAAAAAATAAATTCATACGAGAGAGGAAAATCTGGTCAAAGTCACCAAAATGTGGCTGCATCAGAGATTTTTGCAAAATATGGCAAAGATTTGTACAATGATTGAAGTAGTCGCTATTGACAATAAGTTGGCCTATTGTATATGTTATGCTACTATTTTCTCAGGATAAACCAACAAGGAAGGCATTGCTACCCATACTAATGAATAGAGAAACTGACATTTGATGAGTTTGGAAAGTTTTCTAAGATCACATACAGATATTAAAAGGGAAAGCCAGGATTAAATATCCGAGTATGAGTGTCTCGAAGACCCACAGAATTCCCCTGCTGTGTCCAGAGCTTAGAGACCAGTGAGCTCAATCCCGCTCTAAGGCCAGGGGCAGTGAACACAACCAGAGAGCACACAGCAGGTCACAACAGACTCAAGCCTGACCGATCCTTGTTTGCTTCTCTCTTCTAAGGGTTTGAACTGATTTCCAACCCTGAGACACACTTGAAATAAGATGTTTCTAGAACACTAAAGTTTGGCATTAGGTTCTTTTTTTCAGATATAACTAGCCTCACTTAAATCCTTTTGAAATTTATATCCACTTCCCAAGTCAGGAAACATTGGCCACTGGGTGATGTTGCTTCATAAATACAACCTTTTTGGACCTCACGAATGCCATCACTGTCTGGAGACATGAGGGAAGCATTGAGATGGCGATGGAGCATTCAATTCTAATTAATCTTTCAGCAAACAAAGCCTTGCTTTATCCCTCTCTTTCAATTGTCTTATTCATTCCTATATTCAAGTGTTCCAGCTTGCATATGATGTCCTATACTGGGGAGTATCAGTAAATAGAACATTTTCTTCCTGGTGGAATAACCTTTTATTGTTATAACACTTATAAAATTAAGTGTAAAAGTAAACACATTCTCCTTATAATGAATTCAAGTGTGGTCTAAGAAGATGCAGGAACAATGACACCCTTCTGGACATTTCTTTACGTGGGCACACCATTCACCCTGCACAGTGGGTGTGTGAGCAAAGGTCATGTGTCCACAGATAACAAACAGTGAACATTTCAACAACTCACCCTCGAATTCACCACTTCCAGTGAGACGTTCTGAGGTGGGGCACTTGGCACTGAAAGGAACAAAACCAGGTGAGATGGTTATTGCCAGCGTCAGGAAGGAGAAGCTATATCACTCAGAAAGGGGTCTTTTTCACAGTTCATCCTGACAAGCAGCTAGGCTGATCCAGGTGGCACTTTCAAATTTTCCTGGAGAGATTTAAAAAACAACAACACACCTGCATTTGCTTATTTCTACTCACTTGGTGGGCCAGTTATCCATCTAGGGAGCTCCAAACACTATTAGGCAAGAGAGCACCTGCCGTGATACCAAACACTGACATTTAATTACAGCTTTCTGGCAATAACCTTCCCAGGAAACCAATAAAAACGCATGGGAGGTTTCCTGGAGTGGTTTTAAAGGCTTAAGGTACTGTGCACTTCAGCATCTGCATGGTTTTAGGATGAAATGTGTCATTCTAATGACCACTTGTGTTGCTCAATCCCTTAATGCAACCTTTATTATCTCTTAAAAGGTGGAAAGAAGAAATACAGCGCCCCCCCCCCCGTTTTTTTTCAGCTGATCGTGATTAAACCCCTCTGTCACAGAGGCAGGTTACCAAATGGCATCTGGTGAGTCGATTCTATTAACAAAGGAGCCGTTTATTTTTCTTTGTGGATCTTCTAGGAATTTTGTTTCTCTTGCTGGCACTTTGATTGCCCCATTCATGAAATAAGGGAGAATATATACAGTTTCCTCCACAACACTTATCATGAATATTTACTATATCAAAAAAGCAAACATTCTAGCATGTGAGGAGTTCAAAGACAACCATTCCCTGAACGGCTGTTCTCTGTCAGACACTACTCTATATGTCTTAGGTGAATCATAAAAAAATAAAGCTCTCTGTCCCACAATAGAAGTAGCAGTCAATAAATGTTTAATATAGATTGATCTGTAAAATGAGGAGGGCCTCTCCTTCTTCAGGATGAATAGGTGAATTTCATGGGGAAGAAATGCTCTTAGCATTCTCAATAATGTTTTGTCATGCTCCCTCTTACTTAAACATGAACGATATCTATGTTTTACTAGGTTACTTATGTTTTACCCCAAATTTAATTATGCTATACTCTGAATTTAGCTTCTGAAATATAATCAGCATAATGGTATGATATATGTATTATTATTATATCCTCTAATCTGACATCTAATAAATAACTCAATGATTAAATAAACAAATGAGTACTTACTTAAATCTTAGCTCCTGGGCCTTTCTGGATAGGCTGGGAATTGTAGTTTGGCTCAATGGATAGAGCGTCGGTCTGCGGACTGAAAGGTCCCAGGTTCGATTCCGGTCAAGGGCATGTACCTGGGTTGCGGGCACATCCCCAGTAGGAGATGTGCAGGAGGCAGCTGATCGATGTCTCTCTCTCATCGATGTTTCTCTCTATCTCTCTCTCTTCCTCTCTGTAAAAAATCAATAAAATATATTTAAAAAAATAGTTTTTGTTTCTGTTGTTTGTTGTTGTTTATTTTTATTTTTAATCCTCATCCGAGGATATTTTTCCATTGATTTTTAGAGAGAGTGGAAGAGAGAGGGAGAAACAGAGAGAAATATCGATGTGAGAGAACTGCATCCATTGGTTGCCTCCTGCAGGAGCCCTGACCGGGGCCCGGGCGGGGAAGGAGCCTGCAACCAAGGTACATACTCTTGACTTGAATCAAACCCAGGACCCTTTGATCCACAGGCCGGTTAATATTACATTCCACATGATATGGTAATATTTACATGTCATATACTAATCATGTTACATCCACGTTTTCACAATTAGTTTCAAAATATAATTTCAGTAACACTAGATGGATTTATGATAGGTGAATGAATTTTGGAGTAAGGAGAAATTTACTTAAAATTACCACACATTTTGTTCTAGGTACCGGTTAGTTGATATGTAACCTTCAACTGTCATTTTAATGTAAGTTTCAAAATAGTATTTCCAGAAAGCCAAAAATTAATGAGAAAGGATACCTATTTGCACTTCTTTTTTAATACCACAATTTGGTAAATATCAATATTATTTTCTGTACTGGGAATTGAAAGCCACAAAGTCCTAAAAGTGGGTTTATAACATGGTGTTGATGTATTTTTTCTATTTTTTTGGTGATATAAATATCTCTTACTGTCCATTGATAGCACACTGGCTATTCATGCCTTAGTCAGGAAAGAAAGTAGAGAATTTGTTCTATAGTAATTTTTGTTATTAATTGAGAAAGGGACACACACATTAGCATAGATTACATTTAGTAAATACTTAGATGTATGTCATGCTCATCTTTTTAGGTGTTTAGATGGATTAGCCCATTTAATTTTCACATCTCCCTTTTAGTCAAGGAGAAATGAGCTTGCCTGGCGCTGGGAAGCAGGTGACCATTAAATGTGATTAAGTACATATCTATATGGTGCATGACCTCACCATGCACAGCTTCAGTAGAGGAGAAGACGTCATGCTGAAGTGGAGAGAAGGGGACTGGGTGGTAGGGAATGGAAGCCAAGAGTGCAGGGTTTTATGTTGGAAACATGACTTGACTGTATAGATGAATGCGGACATGTTCAGGGAGTCCACGTCAAGAGGGTCATGAAGTTCCCGTTTTCTCCTATCAAATGTATCTGATAGAGAAAAATTGGGGTCCCTTGTACAGTGATGCTTGTTGGGTAAGGATCATGAAATCCTTTGATATAGTGACAGGCATTTTCTAACTTCTAAATTTCTACATTTCCATTATCATTAACATTTCTAAGTGATAATTCTTGGACTAATGAGTAATAATCTATCTTTCTCACTATGACATTTAAAACCTAAGTGGAAAATAAGGCCACAGTCTTACAGTTCAGAGTGTGAATGAAATCTACATAAATTATGCAAAATATTCATTTTCATTTGTTTTTCTTTTATTTTTATAATTATAAGTTGTGAAGTAATTTATTCTGCCAACAAATATTCTGTCCTGTCTTCAATAACAGAATCAGTTGGATGGGCATAAGAATTACATTAAAAATGAAGAGGTGTCACACATAGAACATTTTTTAAAATTGAAATTGCAAATGAGATTTACTCATGTGCCATTGTTGCACTACCCTTAATAGCATGGATGCCCTTCCTCATCCCTCTGATATTGTGTGAAATATAGGCCCAGATACTTTCCCAGATTAAAGAATGGTGGATCGGTCAAGGAATCACAAGCTAAAGTCATTTTTTTTAAATTTAAAGATTAATAATATATAGAATTACACACACCAACATGGAAACCAGTGCTGAAAAGAAATAGTTTGTTGCCTTTTTAATATTCATGGAGGTCACATCTTTGCATTTCTATACCTGCCCGAATTTTCACTGATGCCACATTCTATCCTCATCTGTACTTTATTTTGACTTTTTATTAAGTTTCCCATTTCATTTTTATCCATTTCTTATACTAACATTTTCCTCTGCAACTTTTTGTGTAGTCTATCTTCTTTATGAAGTCTTCTTCCTCTCTTTTTTGACATTTAAAAATCTTTCATTTGTTAGCACTGGACAATTAAATGTATATATTTTATGCTCAGCTGTAATACTTTCAATGTTGGATTATTTGGCCTCAATCCTTATGCTATACTTTCAAATGCAGGTGAATATGTAGAATTGTCCATCATTTAAATTTTTAATCATCTACCTTTTTTAAGAATGAGAAATAAAAGCAACATGCCATTGTATATAGTCCAAATACATGTACAAATGTATCTGTGGTTAAAAAAATAAAGAAAAATGCAAAAAATCATTTTGAGCTCTTAGGCAGTAGTCACACTTGAAGATCACCTATGAGGACATCCTGACTTATGAAAGTTTAAATTTGACTGTAAAAGTTTGAGTGAAGTAGCTAAAATTCTAATGTATGCTAATATATGCCATCAAGTTTTAGTTGGGAAACCCTGAAAATGAAATCTCTGACATAGACACCATATTATTTGATTATAGTGTGAAAGTGACATAAAATATGTGTAAATATGACATAAAATAGTGACATAAAAAAGTGACATGACAAATATGTGAGTCAAGTGTTACTGGCTGTAACTTACCATCAGAAAGCGTAACCACCGTGATGTCGTCAGTCGAGACTCCGGGCCCATAGCGATTATAAGCTAGGAATCGAAGACTGTATTCCGTGAATTTTTTCAGGCCTTCCAGCTTATAAGACAGTCCATCAACCTCTATATTCTGGAGACATAAAACAACTGTCATTCAGGAGGCACATGGAAGCCGAAATGGCAGCCATTCTGTTTAGTCAGGAAATTGGATATTAGACTCCCACTCTCAAAACTACACTCCGGCCTTAGAATGAACTGTTGTAAAATCTGCTTGTGACATTCACTTCCCCACTGAAACCCAGGCCTCTCTGCAGACTCCTGGTTAAAACAGCACCATGCTGTTTCTACAGTCATTGCGTTCCAATCTGTTTAACACCACCTAACGGATTGAATAGAGAGGCCACACTGAGACCCTGCCAGGCAGGAGGCAGCTATTAAATTCAAGGGAACAGCGCTGCTTCTGCACCCTAACTGGATAGCTCCCCAGGAAACAGTGGACTTCCTTCTTCCCCAGCGGAAACAGGCTCATGTCTCTTAAACTGACAGAGAGTTTGCCACCGTTTGTATCTGCCTGAATGCTGTGAGGTAGGCTGGGTGCGGCTGTCAGCCCTTCGTAGCTGCAGAAATGAGGTGCTGAAGGTCAAGGTCACTGAGCAATCAGAGCCAGTTTGCTCCAGAAGACCTATTATTTAGCTCTCCGCTAGGATCCTCTCACTCACATCTATCTCGGGTAACATCATTTTGGGATTTATTTAAATGGATTGGTGATATGCATTATTGAAGAGCTAAAATATGGAGAAAAGTGGACAGAATAGGAAGATGAAACTAAGAGCTAAAGGGCAAGCACAGAAAGTGGAATGAGTGATTACACAGGAGGAACTCCTAGCGATTCTTATTTTACAACATGGCTTGGGAATTAGAACTATTTCTGAATAAAACTGCTGCAAAACAGGCTTTTAAATGAGAAAACCTTTCTCACACAGTGTATGGGGAAGCACGAAGACCACAGTAGGCTTCGAAACGTCACAACGACCTCAGAACTAGGCTCCCAAGGTCACCTGTCTTTCCCACTTAACTACATACTTGCCTATACAACTTCTCCCACATGAAGCTGAGAATCTTGAAGTAAACAACTCAATAGTCATGAGTCTTAGCCAATTCAGCCCAGTGGATAGAGCATCAGCCTGCGGACTGAAGGGTCCCGGGTTTGATTCTGGTCAAGGGCACGTACCTCAGTTGCAGGTTCCCCAGCCCTGGTTGGAGGCAACCAACCAATGTGTCTCTCTCACATCAATGTTTCTCTCTCTCTCTCTCTCTCTCTCTCTCTCCCTTCCACTCTCTCTAAAAATCAATGGAAAAATATTCTTGGGGGAGGATTTACAACAAGATATACAGTCACAAAGGAGAACTGCTGAGTCTCCCTAAGACTCAGTCACTCTTGCTTTATCTGAAATCCAATTGGCCTATTTTCAGGTGTCTGTATTAACCACAGATTGGGGGGAAACGTAAGAAAGAGGCAGGTAGCCTTCTGAGTAAGGCAGACTGAAAAAAAAAGTGACAGGTGACAGTCTGATATGGGGAGAAGACAGATATGCCATCAAATAGATAAGAATGAAAACAGCAACTTGGGTGATATCATTGACAGTAAGAGAAATCCTCTCTTAGGTTAAGGACTGAAAATACAAGTGCTTCCTGGGACCAGATGGGTTAATACAAATGTGGTTACGCTGGCCTGGGCACCTACCTACTCACACAAAACAGAGGTATCCTTTCTGATCCATCTCATTACCCATTGGCCTCTCTTAGCACCAGAATTCAATTAAATTGCGTAACATTTCAAGTGACAGGTACTTTAAAACTGTTCAGCTATCCAATTAATATGCCGGACACTGGACTAGACATTGGGAGCTTACAAGCGCCTATTTCTCCAGCCCTAGAGCCAAACCAACAGGTGGCAGCAGTGGGACCCATTCCCTCGCCTACCTGTTCCTTCCCAGTGGACACCTCAGTGCAGAACAATCTGTAACCTTGAACTGGGCCATTTGCATAGGCAGGGGGTTCCCAGGTAATGAGAATTGAGGTAGGTGAGGTAGATACAGCTTGCAGGTTTTCTACTGGCCCTGGAACTTGCACTGTGTACAAGAGAAATGGATTAGTACAAGAGGGTTCTCTTTCTCCAAACAATCGGAATTACATCTTTTACAGTTTGAGGAAACTATAGCAGCATGTAGTACCTTTAAAACCATACGGAATACAGATATAAAACCATAAAATACACAGTAGTAACATTTTGGAGTTATTTCTCATTTTCATATCCAGAAGAGGACTTACATGCATCTACATTTCTTATTTCATTTTACAGTTGAAGAAACTGGTCAAGGAGTATAAGTGACTAGGATAATAGGAGGAAAAGGTGGGATTCTTAATCAAAATTTTTAGTGTGGAGAAAGTTCCACTGTGTCCGCGTGGCTTTGCCTGTGTCTTGCTAATAACTGCGGGGGCAGGGTGGGGGGGAGAGAAACTACCATGTGAATACTTGGACATCTTGGTTCACTCCAATAGGCAGCATGGCTATGGATAATTGACCACACTCACTGCCTTTAGTCGGCATTTTAAGGTCTTGCCCAATTCTGGCTCCTTTATATTAATTGCAGGATTTAATTTTCCATTTTACTTTCTAGTATTCCATTTTCTCTCATAACTGTTAACTCAATCAAGGATAAGTAACTTCTGCATTAGAGTAGCTAGACAGCACAGGTCTACATTTACTTAAGCAAACACTGTTTCCGGATGTATTTTCAGATCCAGAAATTTTCAAATGTTACAAAGCTAACATGGTGGGTATGCAGAGCTCTATGTAAGCTCCCTACTAGGGTCTGTGGTAGTACCCTGTTATCAAATCATGTATTTTCAGCAAATATATGATATTCACACCAACTAGAATTATTAAAGACTATCCATAGTCTAGCATAAGATCAGGTCTGGGTACAAAATGAGTTAAGAAAACCCTTCAGATTCCAGATTTGCAAATTTTGAATTCTGCCTATTTTTTTTTATTTGTGCAAATATACCTAAATATGTATGGTTTGTGAATGGTAAATGGAAAATAGCCATGCTATGACAATGTAAAATAAAGCCTTGGCACTGCCAGTGTAACTACGTTAACTTAACACGCCATGTATGTTCTTGGGTATCACCGAGCTTTGGACAGCTGTACCTTAAAGGCCCATATTACAGTCCTGCGAGTTTGAACTTCCGTAGCAAATTATCATATGAAAACGTGGCTGACATATCTAATGATACCTTTTTAGATCTGCCAAGCACCTGTGTCTCAGGATCATTTTTCAGAATTTGTTCCATGAAACCCAGCCGCCTTAAGGTATTACTGCTCACACATTCATTTGGGGGAAATAAATATATTCATGTCAGAAACACATATTTTATGTCACTTTCACATATTTTCCCACCAGTTGCCGAATCTTGAGAACCATTATTACTGACAATTGCATTCTTTTCACCTTTACAAATGACTGGTAAGAACTTCTTAAAAACTTCAGAAATTATTGTAAACCTACAGACAATTTTAACAATGAATAATACAAAGAACACCCACATTCCCTTTATCCAGATATACCCATTGTTGACACTTTGCTCTATATATTTTATCATTATCTATCTCACTAGACATATGTAGGCTTCCTTTCTATATATATCTATAGGTTGCATTATCACCTATTATATATAGATTTTAGGTGTAGTGATAAATGCTACCTATAATCTATATAAATACATATTGAGACTATTTATTATCTCTTGATAGATAGAAAATATATCCATATCTCTCTATTCAGATTAAGCTGTACACAGCTCTTTACCCCTATAAGTTTCAGTGCATATTTCCTAAGAGCTAATGTGTACATGAATACTATAGTTACTAACTTCAGTGCATTTCACATTCATTCAATATTTTTATCTAATCTTCATCTGTATTGTAATTGTGCCAACTGACCAAATGCTGTCATTGATGGAGCATTTCTCCACCTTTCCTCAGCCAGTCTCTTTAGTCTGTTTTAAGCTGAAACAGTTCCAGAGCCTTTCTTTATCTTTAAGCCATTCTTATGTTTGAAGACTATCATCTTTTTTTAATTAATAGAATGTTTCTCATTTTGGGTTTGTCTTTGTTTCTTCATGTTGAATTCCAGGTGGAAATGAAACATGAAGAGATGTCTGTCCTTCTCAGGGCATCACCTCCAGAGGCACAAGACCTCCCTTAGTCACTCGGATGTGAATGTTGGGTACCTGGTCAAGGTGATATCAGGTTTCTCCAGGTGGAATTTACTGCCCACCCTGCACTCCCACTCCAGCTCTGACCCCTGCTCCATCACTTCCAGTTAATAAGCAATCTGTGGGGAGATGACTACATCAGCATCAGGACCAGGTAAATATCATGCTCTATATTAGCTCCCCTTAGAGTCAGCATCTACTCATGGTTCTTGATTGAATCAACCTTTACCAGGGTGATTACAAAGGTGGTTATTTTTCTATTCAAGCACTTCTTCTGAATTAGCAACTTGGCACTCTGCATTCAATTATAAGCAAGAACCCATATTTTTCTCTACTTATGTATCTATTATTGTTATGGGGACATGGGTTCCTTCTTTATCATAGTCTACAATTCATTATTGTTCTTAATTGTGGGGAAGCACAGGACTTGGTTGGAAAGTCTGTAAGGAGAATTCTGCAAAAGGTCGGGGACCTTGCTGAAGGCTGCAGCCCCTACCTTGACTTGTCCAAAGAAGTCTGATCCCCCGGGTGTTTTGCTGGAATCTCTATGTTTAGTCTTTAAGACCCGACCTTGTAGAAGCATGAGCTTTCTCAAGGATACCCACCCTGCTGATTGTATCTAGAGGTTAATTTCAGTTCAAGCTGTTGTTACAATAAAAGGCTAATGAGGCAGGCAATCGGGGCTGTTTTCGTTACTAAAGCCAAACAAGCCCCTTAGCCTTCTCTTTCACAGAAACATGTGTCAGAGTAATCTACTCATCTGCTGCTCAGGGTCTGCTGGTCAGCCCGGCACTTAATTATTTGGGTGTTTGAATTGTGCCAGATTTGGCCAGTGGGGCCCCCTTTAATCTTCTGTCCTTATGACATGCAACATCCTTCACAGGAGCACTTCCTTTCTTCCTGGCATAATATATTACAGGTTAATCTAGATCCTGCCCCAGTTCTGGAATCACATTTCTCCAAAGATTTCTGGCTCTTTTCTCGGGGAATGGTATCTGAGACAAAGGTCAGGGTGTTAGACTGCTCATTGCTGTTTGGCTGTCCTTGCTTCTAGATCCTTTCAGCAATCAGGAACCATATGACTGTGTATCTATGTATATACACAAATGCATATGTGCATATGTATAGTCAAATATACAGATGGATATGTATATCTCTCATGACTCTACAGAGACGCCTCCTATTCCAAGCCATCTCTACATGGTTCATTATCGCGTTCCCTGTTCTTTCATGCATCCTTTCTTCCACAAGTAGACCTCTAGATCCCAAACGGTTGCACTTTGAAAGACATTGTGTGAGAGCATCCCATGCTGCTATTCTTCCAGGAAGGGACCATTTGTCTGTGCAAAATCCCTTCTTCCACAAAGGGACCTTCGGTAGACAATACTGACCAACAGGGAGTCTTCCCTGTGTCAAAGCTTATAGTGATACAATTAGACTTAGATTATAATGGAGGCATTTTGCTTCATGGGGAAAAACAAACCGAAGCAAATTAAAAACTTGCCCACTGACATTTTCAACTGGATTTGCAAAGTACAATATTTGAAATAACAACATGAAAATTAAACAATTTGGATGCTTCTGTAATTTCACAAAGACAAAGCAAACAGCTCATGAGGGAGCATTTCTGATTTGGAGTCCTCTATTCTTGTAAGGAAGGTAGATGCCAAAGAAAGGAGGAGAACTGAGGCTGAGCGGCCTGCTCTGGCACGTGAATATGAGGATTTTGGAAGCTCACAGAGCGTATCTGTGCAGCCCAGTGACGTGGAAAGTATTAACTGAATGAGTTCCTTCTCACTGCCCTGTGGCTAAAATGAAAGCACACTGCTTACTACTAACATGACTCATTCTGGGAACGAAGACTAAAGTTTAAAAATGGCCAAACACCAAGGCCATCATTCATTCAAGGGAAGTTTTCCAGGGTAAAAGCTTTTCCAGGAGGACTAGGAGAGAAGTGAGTGTATGGAAGGGGGGAGGATATTTGAGGATATTCTGCTCATTTGCTTCACTGGAGCACAAGGGGGTAATGGGAAATAATTCAAACTGATTTGAATTTTTGAAGAACAAGACATCTGAGAATCTGAAAGAACGAGCTGAGAGGGTTGCCTGGCAGGGTAGGAGCCATGGATGCATAGCCTGCTAAACTAGGGCTTGTTGGGGACAAGGGGGTCAGAGAGGCCAACCTCACAACCACTTCCATCAGGCCTTGTGGGAAGAAGAGACCGCAGGGACATGGACAGCTCAAGGAGCAACCCGACAAGAACAAACATGAGGCCAACTTCCTCCCTGCCGAGCCCAGCCATGGCTGCTAGGGTCTTGGCTCTTGGTCCAGAGAATGGTCAAAAAACTCCACTTATTCCCCAAATAATAAGATCAATTCTCTTCTCCACAGGGATAGGCACAATGCTAGGTACACAGACAGTATTTAATAGATGTGTGTCAAATGAACGACTTTACATACAATTACCAAAGGTTACCATAAATCACAAGCCTAAAATAAACTATGTAGTCTAACTCATTTGGTGTGGTTTATTCAGCATTGTCACTGCAAGTGATCAGAAAATAGTGTTTCCTCAAGACACCTGGTGAGAACTGAAGTTGGTATGTACGTCCATGTTTGTCATGTGCATGGAGCCTGTGTGCGCTCTGCACAAGGTGTAATTTCTTTATGTGCACATGTAGCTTAGTCACTGATGGGAAAACACCAGGCAGTAAGTACTGTAATTTGGATCCAGTTCACACTCGTAGTGCCTACTCTGATCACTTCTTAATCCACTGACATATTCTTCTCTTTGGTCATTAGATACTATCAGGAAAGAAGTGTGTCTAAGTTTCTAGAATTTCAAGC